TATATATACACGTTGACTTTTGTTAACCGGGCCGGGCCGGTCCTATAACCGGTTCCGGTCTTAACCGGTCTCGGTCCTAGAAAACATTAAAATCCATAACCGGTTCATAACCGGCGGTCCACAACCGGTCCATACCGGTCCGGGGACGGTTCCGGTTCCGGTCCATACCGGTCCGGGGACGGTTCCGGTTCCGGTCCTCCGACGGTTACAGGCCGAGCCGGGCCCATTTGGCCATCTCTAGATCCAACCAAGACCAAGGCCAGTTGGGCTAGTTCAATACTTGGCTAAGATGAAACTCAACTGATGGTTGGACTCATGCCTTCAAACTATTGACAAGGACTATAAGGCTATGTTCGGCAACTACGGTTGAAGTTTGGTTTATTAGAATGTTCAATTCCATCAACCAAATTTCATTAATACGTTTAGTTTGTTCTTTGAGTTTGGTTCAATAGTTGCTGCCGCCACCACCACCACTGTTGTCGTCACTACCACCCTCATCGTTGTCGCCATTGCCACCATCAATTAATATTATAATTAAATAATCTTTGTAACTTGAGCAATAAAAAATAAAAATGCTATAAAGAGGTATTTCAATCATTTAACATAATTTCATATTTCAATTCGTTTGACAGATTCAATTTTATTTCATTCCTACCAATCAAATACATAGCGAAATAAGTTTGGGCAAGATATTGATTACCACCAACCCCAATCGGCCCCCACTAAGGACACTAATGTGAGGGTATTTTTGGCTCCCTCAACGGCTGAAACTACCCGAGGGGAAGGGGATCGAACTAGAGAGTTGTCTTGTATTTAGGCAAAGTCGATCATCCCCATTACCAACAGAGCTACGTGCTGAAAGGCGAAGGCCGTAGTCAAACCTTATTAAATTTCATTCCAACTCCTTTATCCATTTCAGAAACCAAACGCCACCTAACTAATAAATTAGCTATTAACTAGTTAGCTGATGGTAAAATATTAGGCTGTAATATACAAACTCAAATGTTTCTTTGCCTTTCTAAATTAAAAGCAATCACAAAGTCCAAAACAAAATTAATCCCCAAGACTACAAAAACCTCATGTCTTCACATATTTGAACATCTATAAAGAAAAAGAGAAAAGCAGAACTCAACAATGACATACCTGCGAATCAATGATCACCAACTTCCGCTTCTTAATCATAATCGACAGAAAGTTTCCGTTAATTGTGTCTAAAACTCACACACACGCACCTCAACCATCCCTTCGTTTCTCTTTGGGGAATACCAAGCTACCACTTTCCCGGATTCTAGGTACCTCATCGAGTAATTCAAGCTATATATTACGTCCTCTATGTGTGGGCCCCGCCTCTCACTCGATGAACCCAATGAAACCTTAGAATTTACCCTAAAAACAAGGGGTCCAAGAACCTGCATATACATACGTAAACAACGGCTCAAAACAGGCACTTTTCTATCTGAATTTGATATGAATTTTCTCCCAAATTCATTATCGACACTTGGGTTTATGGGATAGAATATAACGTGGTCGATAAATTCTTCTCAAACATTTGCACTATGTTCTCAAAACCTTTTTGAACAAACGGAAGGGGAAAACAAGTGTTCTTGAGAAAACTTTTTAAGAGGTAAAAGAAAGGAATATGAGCGAAAATATATGATATGTTTCCTCCCACACATGGGAAGAAAGAGAAGAAAAAAAATTACAATCCTTGGACAATTTAGTAAAATTACAAAACCACCCATCAATTGAACACCATCGAAACAAACATAAAAAGGTATATTTGTAAAAATCACATCTTTCCTTCTCTCTCTCCCGCTCAAAAACATAAAAATTGTTTCATTTCCCTTGACTTCCCTTTCAAGAACACAAAAAAAAAACTTTCTTTCCTTTCTTTTCTTTTCTAGAATTTGTATGAATTTTGAAGTTGAAAGTTGATTCATTTGACCTCAAAAGTCAAAGGGAGTTCCTACCTGCTGTTGTAGGATCAGATTTAGTTGTGGTGAAACTGAAGAAGAATTCAATGTATCAGAAAAGCCTTTGGCTAAGTCCAAACGAGCATCGAACCGAGTGAGGTCGCCATATCGCTTTCGAAATTTCCCTTGCTGGAAGGCAAAGCAAATCGAGCCAAACAAATCCGCACCAAACGGGCTTCTCTTAGTATTCGTATTATCATCAAAGTTCTTCCCACCAAACCAAGCCTCACAGGTAGCGCCTACCGTTTACAGTTAAACATTGGCATAAAAAGGCTGATATATAACTAAACGAACCCAGAAGCAGGGGTCCGGGGAGTGTCGATAAATGTAAATATCTTATGAATAAAACAAAATAACACCCACAGAAATTAATAAATTAACTTCTTATAATCTTATTTAGTGTGAGGAACAATTTTTTTCCTCAATCGATGTAACAGAGTTCCAAAATTTCCTATTTTGAACCCATTTTAACCGGCAACTTGTTGATCTTGCAACATTTGATGACGTGGATACCAATTTCGAAAACATTGAAATGTTTATGAAAGAGTTGCATCGAAGTGGAAAATCAACTTGAATTCAGGTCATCAAATGTTACATTACATAAGAAATTTTTTAAACTCCGTTATATTGATTGAGAAAATTTGAAACTCTTACATTAAATAGAAAAGTTGGAAACTTCATTACTTTTGATTGAGGAAAAAAAACTTGTTTGAAATAGGAACTAAGGGACTGTTTACCAAACTCTTACCGGGTAAGCACTTACCAGCAAGAGTCACCACCCTCACTTACCTTACAGGGTTACATTCTCTGCCATCAAACTGGAATGTTGGTAAGCATCGTTTGCCCGGTAAACACGTAGCGGGTAAGAGTCTTCTCTCTCACTTACCGGGTAAGAGTCTTGGTCCTTGCCCTGCTCACCCGGTAAGGTAAATGACACCGGATATCACTAAACACTTACTGCCTTATCGAGTAACTAAACACTTACCATCTCTTGACTGGTAAAAGACTCTTACACAGTCAGAGATGATGGTCTTTGTCAGAGATAGATGGTCTTTACCAACAAGAATCTACCGGTAAGTGAGGGTGGTGACTCTTTCTTACCTGGTTAACGCTTTATGGGTAAGAGACGTTTATACTATGTTATTTTGATGACCAATAATCTTACTGAATAAAATAAGTGAGGATGGTGACTCTTACACAGTAAGCACTTACCCATTTTGTGTTGGTAAACAGCCTCTAAGATAAATTTCGTTGCATTTCAACTTAAAAATAGAAACAAAAGCAACATTATTCATAGTAAACATTCATTAAATCAAGAGATTCATTTCATTATAGAAGGTAAAGATTACCTAATATTCCCGAGATCGCAGCATGAGGTTCCTTCATGCGTAAATCATAAGCCGTGGTGCGAAAACCACCCCCGTGTTTCTTTACTAAGACCAGATCCTCTTTCGTTTCAGGATTTCTCCAAAGGTCTTTACTCTTCTCATACGAAAAGGCGGCTTTTGCACAAATTCCTGGCCTCAGAGAAGCCGGAGCCTGACCCTCCACTGAGTCAAGTGCCGAAGGAGAACCGGTGTTCTTATGGATGCCAAATCGATACCGTAAACCCGACTTAGATATAAGAGACAAACAATTCAAAGATATGGACTCTGGAACGTTCCAGTATTTTCCGTAGCGATCCACAAAGAGCTCGGGCCAAGCAGCTTCCAAGGTGATATCATGATCAGGAAGCTGAACTACGAATAGAAAAGTATTGCCATCAATCAAACATACAAAGATGTAGATAGGGAGAATGCAAATATAAAGATTTGAGATTTGATTTATCTGGTGTAGTGGGGGCGCTCCTGAGGGTGGTGTCATACCAGCGAAATGAATAACATCATGGCATGAATCTTGGGAAGATGTCGTTCTAAAGATAGAATAAGATATATTTGTCCTGAATAACTTAGATGTGCATCGGATAAATGGAATCATGTTCATCAATCAACTTTTGCCAACTCCAAGGATATCTTCTTCCCAATCCTTTCAAAGTAATTATATCAATGGAATGAAAATATACGTTAAGATAATGGCTATAACTTGATTCATCTTCACCAATTGGAATACAGATATAGATTAAAGAAACGCCACTCCTTTCAACGTTTACCACTAGATGCCAAAGTTGTATTTGTCTACATAATTTCCCCTCATTGGCTCATCCCATTCTTCATTTTGTCGGTTCTATCTCCATTTCCCTCATATCAAGTAGACGGGACCCATAATAACCGCCCGTCCTTACACACAATCTGCTACCCTAGTCTTGTGTCTCCACAAACTCCTATTAGAGGTCATGCCTTCTGAGATGTGTAAAGCCGCCATGTCTAATCTCAATTGTTTGTACCAAGTCTTCCTTGGTGTATCCCTCCTCCTCGCACCACCCTGATGCTCTCAACCCTCCATGTCCTCCTAGGCCCGATCGTGTAAATTTTCATCGTCATACAGTGAAAACACTTACTTTGACATCAATCCCACAAGGTTTCCATGAACAATCCTCAAATAAATATTGAAATCCTTATAAGAAGATATAATGCAAATAATCCCTATTGTCATATATATATATATATTCCCTAAAATTTTGACCTTTGTTACAAGGCTCACAATTAAAAGTTCAAGTACAAGAAAATAGACGAAGTGATCACTAACGCCCATCCTTCTTCATTTTTAATGAAGTTACCAAACAAAAGTTTTTGTTACTTATTCCCAAACCTTTTCTTGTGAAATCTAGGTGCATGAGTGATAGATTCTCATAGACATGTAAAAGTTTACACCCTATCAATCTAATTGTCATCAAAATTAACAAATTAAATTGAAGATTGAGGAAGTTTAATCAATCAATATAATTTAACAATAAAAGATGATTACTTCTGAACTAGAGCACAACCTTTCAACTAACGGACAACTAGATACGTGAGATCCCACCCCAATTGGATAATGATGTGTAAGTTATGTTTCACAAGGTTGTGAAAATCTAGGTGTGTGAGTGATAATTTTTCTTTTCTAGAGATATGCAAGAGGAAATCGATCGAAGTTCTGTAATAACTCTCTATTTTGCTCTAAGCACAACTCGGTCATGGTCCAGAAAATGGAAATGAAATCTAGACTTGCCTGATGATTGACAATGGCCTTTGTGCATCGGTTCTTCCTCTGACCATCCTTCTCTACACTTAGCAATACATGAGTTGATGGACCCAACTCCAGCAAGGAAGATGAGCCAAATGAATAAAATGACCTGTCGAAAAACTTCTTGAAAATACGTTTAAATCTAGACACTTTCGGATCAGCTCGAAAAGCTTCTGCTTTAAGAGAAGATAACAACTTCCTTGGACGAATCTGCCCCACCAATCCAAGCTGCCTGCACATGATAAAAACCATATTCGATATCTGAGTATAATAATTTGAAATGCGAACAAACTCACACCCCCAAAAGGGTTGCAGAGACCCAATTGGTTGAATCCACTTTGTTCCAGTCATAGCTACATTAATTCACCTCAAACAATATGCTTAAGTAAGAAATGAATGAAAGTTCTACAAATCTCCAAAGTTAAATCCTTGTAGGGCAACTTTATAAAAAAAAGAACCGTGATAATGTATTGGAAGCATGACCATATGTGAGAAAACTAATTTGAGGCATTTCTAGTGACATATCGAGTGTGCTTTTCCTCTTTTTTTCTATGTTTCAATGTGCCTATTTCTTCTTTTTCTGTCCCTTACTATTTACGGGTCTTGGGGCCGCTTACCCAAAAGCTTACCCGGTAAGCGCTTACCTGGTAAGAGTCTAACACTCTCAATTAATTTACCGGGTAAGATTCTACTCTATCAAAAGGGCATCGTATGCAACAATTTACCCGATAAGCGCTAACTGAGTAAGAGTCGTCACCATTACTTACAGGGTAACGTTTTTGGTCCTTGACATCGCTCTTACCGGGTAAAATTCTCGGTCCTTGTCATGTTCATCCGGTAAGGTAAGTGACCCAGTAAGAACTTATCGGATGAGAGTTTAGTAAACGGCCCCTTAGTTTTTATTTCATTTTTGCTCACAATGGCCTTTTTATTTATTATTTATCGTAAATGAGTGAAGCATTACACATAGTATGCCCGTCCCCATCAGCATAGTTTTTTGTTTTATAGCCCGTAACTCTTCCTCAGCCACTTTTGCACAAGCCATAGATCTTCATGAAAACAACTACTCTAACTTTTGGGCTAGATGTTAGACCGCATACATCCCACATCCCGACCCTACTTTTGAATGGGATCAGGGGCGTAGCTAGTTTTTTTTTTGGGGGGGGGGTTAGCAAAGCCTCCTCCAACAGTAGCATCACGCATGAATTTTCTCCTCTATTATATACTAATACTTTTATATTTTACCATCCAATTTAGAATCCACCCTCCCATCCATGATCCCATCTCATTGAGGTTTCACCTCTTACAACATAAGTCCTTCCACTTTAATTATGATTTCTAGTTTACACTTTTAATCTTTATTTCTTCCATTTTAATACCCAAATGCTAGAGTTTATGCATAAAGTACCTATGTTGGTCAGCCGGTTTGCTCACCAAGTTCATAAAAAAAATAACTTGTAGATAATTATATTCAGCACACGTAGTTTATAGAATTTACGAAAACCCGTATAATTGTTTTTCAAATTTTATGCGAAACAAATTAATCAAGGTACAATAAAACAAAACATAAAACTACAACTAATTAAGAAAGATGAGATCAAATCACATAATTGAAAGCATTAGACTATGTGGGTTGGCAAGGAAGGCTCAAACATGTAGATTTATATCAACAAAAGGGATCGAATGTTCGATAAACATGATGATTACTCTGCTGCCTAAAATACTTCTAGGTCCGAAAATGCTTTGAAGGATTAATGGAAATAACGACAATTTATCGTTGTAATTTCTATAACAAAGTACGAGCTGGGACAACCGGACCCCCGTAACATATATTCCTAGCTCCGCCCCTGAATGGATATATTTGGTTGGTTTGGTTTGTATCCTAGGGACATATCGAAAGAGGAAGAAAAACTGTAAGAACTAAAAAATTAACAAAATTGGGAGCAAAAAGAAAATAATGTAAAGGGAATAGAACATCAGCAATCCATCTGTAACAAAATTATGGCTGACTTTTACTAGGAAGTCAATTCACAAAATCGTGATGGTCCTAATTAGGGGTAGGTTCCGTTATCCTAAAATTGATTAGGAAAGGGAATTGTCCAAGGCAGAGCACGTGGCATATTCATTAGGAATATGGACTTGTTATTCATCAGGAATGTGTGACACATGACGAATAACACTTCCATATTCATCATGAATGTGTTATTCATCCTAAAATGGGACACTGTTCCTGGGTTCCTAATCAATTTTGGTTTCCTAATGGAACTTCCATCATCCTAACTTTAATACATAGAACAACTGCTACCATAAGCTTCATAAAATGCACCAAGTATTACCATTGTTTACAGAAGTAATTTGAATCCACATCAAATGGAAATCTTAGAATCCCAACATTGGCTTCACAAAGTGTACACAATTTCTCCGAAAACAATTTCTCTGAAAACAATTTCTCTTGGACGCACTTAATAATCACAAATTGTACACAACAACATTACAAAATAATCAAATGGGCATTCATTTACCATCAAAATTCATCTAATAAATTGAAGTTTTACCAGTTTTCTGCAGGTTGTCTCAACCAAAGAGTCTGAAGAGATAAAGAACCCGACTCCTTTTGTGAGGAATAAGATAGAGGTCGAGCAAAAGAGGGGATTAAACCCAACGGAAACCCTGGTCCCAAAAACGTTAACTGTTCCATTCTGGGAACTTTACTGGCATTTGCTCCGTCCAAGGGCACCGGCTCGCCGGGAATTGATCGAGCACTGCCGTGAAGGGTCTGTGGGGTGGCTATATTTAGGTCATAAAATGCTGCATCCATTGATGTCCTCAGATTAGCCATTGTTGTGCTTACGAATCGGAGAAACTTGAGTTTCTTATCTGTTACTGCGTGTTTTAGGTGTGGGTTCAGAAGGGGGGTTTGGGGAATGGGGCGAGAGCTTTGTTTGTTAGCATGAAGAGGGTTTTGCCATATTAAATTGGAATTTGAAAAAGAAAATTGTAAACCCTACTTAGAAAATAGCAAACTTTGGCAGCAGATTATGGAAAAGGTGCAGTCCCTTTTAGATTTTTGCTTTGGAAGTACATGAAGTTTTTGGGTAGTATTCAACAACATGCTTTATCAAGTTCAATTAGTTTTCAATTTAAATCTCATCAAAAATATAAATATGTAAAAAGATCAGTATTTATTGTTATAAATATTTTATATTATAGAACTTTTTTTTTTGACCCATCCGGTTATTAGTGGGTTATTTGAGTATATGTTGTTGTAAAAATTGTTACAAATGTTTATACACGCAAATTTGGGTTTAATTAGGAGCGGATATTATCTTCGATCTCATCCGGAGAAAATGTTTCAAATAGATATCAACCCTCGTTTATGTTTGCGTTCTCTTACCCACCAAGGCCAAGAAATCCCCACCTCATTAGGGGTGGGTAGAAATGGACAAACCGAGTAATTGGGCCTGTAACCGGTTAAGGCATGTCCAGTTAAATTCACCGACGTTGGTGACTAGCTAAGTCGATCCATGGTCCTGATTAAAACATGTTATCGCTTCAAAAAAATAAGAACGGATGGTAATTGACGTACTAATTATCTGGCGGGTAAACCGTAAGCAGTTGGTATAGCCGGTTACCGAGGGCCCTTTTTAAAATTAATAAGTTTAAAAATAAAATATACTCCAATAAATAAAAGTTTATTTATTTGATTATAAATACAAAGAAAGATAAAGTTTGAAAATTCATACAAAATGTGTAAAAGTACATGACTACGTTTAAGAAATAATTCAATCTCTTTATCCGATATATTTCCAAATCTTGTTCATGTTCCATTTCACGTTCATTGTAAGCAAGAACTTGGGGAGCTGGTATTTCGACGCCCTCCAATAAAAACTGTGGACTCCTGGAGTATGTGTTTCCTTCTATGTCGACTACTTCATCATCGACGTACGGAAGTTCTTTCTCTAGTGAAGAAGTATCATGAATTTGGTTGTAGCTATCCAAACAATCTTTCAGGCAAATGCAAACCTCAAGCAATTCAAGTGTAAGTAATCTCCTTCTCCTCGAAAGCGCTCTGCCAATGAAAGAAAAAGCATAGTCCAAATCTAGGGTGCTAACTTGTACAGTTAGTAGGTCTCTTGTCATGATGGTGATAATATAAAATTTTCTCTCTTTTCTTTGCACTATGTCAATATATCAAGGTGGTCAAAATCGTCAATGCTCATAAAATCAACAAAGTTTGAATTTATAAATATACAAAATCATTGTGCTCAAAACTAGATCTTTGGCGTTTTGTTGTTGAGAAACTATATTATTATAAAATATTAGCACGATATTTTTTTCTTTGCTGATTTGCTTTTTGTACTCTCTCACTGCTGGTTGATGGTTCTTCCACTTTCCCTAAAGCGTTAATGTGTATTCTATCTTTACCGAATTGTGTACTATATGCGTCAAATAAATTATAAACACGAATTTAAATTTGGTAATTTTGTCTATTGGCAAATTCGAGATCTTCTTCAGTTAAATGTAAAGCATCGGGAATATCAGTTATCATACACTCTACACCGACAACGTTTACAGTTAGTGTAGAATTTGTGAAAATTCACCCTTAATTATGGGAGATGTATTGATCATTTTTAATAATACAAGAGATGTACAATCGAAAGGAAAGGATATACATAAATAACCTCCTTTCCTGTTTTACAGAATCTACGTTATCATTTTATGATCTTTAATATTATGGCTAATACCCTCCCCCTCAAGCGAATAGGGGGTGCACCAATACGGAGCTTGGCACAAAAATGTTCGAATAAGAGGCACGAAGACTTTTGGTAAATATATCCACATTGGAGCTTGGTTGGAACAAACTGAGTATATAAATGACATGAACAAAAAGCTCGCATACAAAATGGTAATCAATGTCAATGTGATTTGCTCATTTGTGAGAGATTGGCTTTTGATTTAAGAATATGGCAATCTGATTGTCACAAAGAAGCATCGGCCGGTTAGGAAGCAAAGCATAAGGGTCTCGACGAAATGGTGACCTACAAAAATTTCAGTAGGCGTATTTGCCATGGCACGATATTCGGATTCACAACTTGAGTTAGACATCATAGGTTACTTTTTGGCACTCTAAGTAAGGGTGAGCACGAGCGTGTGCTCCTGTGAGAAAACCCAAAAAATGATCAGGTTTCATATATGCAAGGAAGACCCTGAAAATCAAAATCAAGATATGCAAACCCGCAGGTTTCGGGTTTTTTCGAATCAGATTCGGGTTGGTTCAAAATTTTCCTCTCAGATTAATAGAATTCCTATGCGGGAATGTAGAGTTTGGTACACAGACATCATTGGACTGAACATGACGGAACTAGACAAGACAAGTTGTTTGTTTGATGTTTGGTACAACTAGGACTAGATAGGACAAAACTAGACAAGTTGTCACTAAAAGTTGTTTGATGATTTTATATATCATATAATACTTATAAAATGACACAAATCAAATAAATATTTAAATATATTAATTTATAAACATTTTTACACAATTTTCATAACATAAATACGTACATATATATAATAGTACCGAATTTGAATGAAGAATTTGATATAAAATTGATGGTAGTAGGAAAAACCCAGTTTGTACAAAGAAAAAACTATGTTTTATTCAGTTTGGAAGAACCTTATGAATTAGAGGATACATGGTGGAGGTTGTTGCAATGACAATAGTGGTGGAGGTAGAGACGGTAGTGGTTGGTCGACGATGGTGACTATAGAGGACATAAAGATGGTGGACGGTGGTAGTGATGGCGGTCAAGAATAGGGAAGGAGGTAGTTATGGCCGATATGGTGGATATGGAGGTAGAAATGGTGGTGGTAGTGGTAGTCCATGGTGGTAGTGGTGGTTATGGTCAAGACTGATGGTATTGGTGGTGGCAATAGATAGTGGTGGTTGATAGTCAATTGTGGTTGTGGAGGTGGTGAAGGAATTTATAGTAGTGAAGGAGGTGGAGGTGGTTGCAGTGGGCGACGGAGGCCACCGGTGGTGGTGGTGGTGGTGGCCATGGCGGTGGTGGAATTAAAACAAATAGCATATTGGGGTTATACCGAATGAGCATAGATTAATAATGTTTTAGTTTTTATCCATCTTTGCCCATCTTGTCCCATTGCTTGTCCCTGTCTCATGTCGTGCGAAGTGTGGAATGGTAAGTTTTTGTCCGCTCCCATGTCGTGCCAAAGGTGAGACAGTGAGTTTTTTCCCTTCCTGTCTTATCCGGTCTCATGTACCAAATGCATCCTTAAAAATCTAAAAATTTACAAACATGAAACATAAAAAATTTCCAGATTTTGTAGAGTAACAAAGTTTGAAAAAGAACTAACAAGGTACAAATTCAATGGTTAAATATTAAACTAAAATTTTTAACAAACAAAGACAAGTTGAAAATTCAAACTTTAAAGTACGGTACCATCTTGACATCTCTAATTCTTCATCTATGAATCCACTCTCCAAAATGGCAAAGTCCATATAGCAAATACCATGATAACCATATTATATTCTCCATTCATCCATGCAAAAAGCATTATTTAGTTGTTCTTCTTCTTCCAAACATTGTTTCATTGTTCTATTTAAAAAAACACCAAATTTATCATAAGTAAACATTTGCCTAAAAATCTAGGAATTTAATGATTATGACTAATAGCCTAACATATTACATCATCTACATCATCTGTTGGAAAAACAATCCTCACGGTCATAGACATAACTTCCAATTCTTATATTTGTCATTTTTGCACATATAAAAACAAATTAAAATATAATATTAATACACAAATTCAACTATATACTAATACAAGTTGAAAAAAGAATACTCAAAACATAATTAATGTCACACCTTTCTCAAATTTCTCAATTTCATCTATGTTTTCTTCAACTGCAATTAGTTGACCAAGGCCTATTGGTCAATCTTGTGTACATATTGTTGATCCCAGATCTCTCAATGTAGCTTGAACGATTGCTTTGTTTGCCATCCCAAATCTTATTCATTGATCTTGTCGTTGAGCCGTATGCGCGTAAAGATCAATCATGTCATATGGATTGAGATTGACCAAGTCGTTGTCATTGAAGACGTTGACATGACCATGGGCTCTTTCCATAGTGTACTCGATGTATTTGATGGCTCTGTTCACGAAGGTCCTCATTTTGATGTCCATGACCGTCCTTATTCCTTCGTTTGAGAAGACAACCTGTGGTGGTTAGGTCGTCTGTCTTACAAACCTGTGGCGTAGGAAGTTCATCGACTCTGGTGAAAGCATTGGAGGATTGAGAGTCAAACCTTCATCGCGATCGTGGTACAAGTATTGATGAATATTTTCCATCATCACTGGCTCTCTTGGTGGCATCTCTGGATGCCTCCTTAGTGACTTCATGTTAGCAATAAGTTTATCGACCACGCCTTGAGGAGGGTGCCTCGATGAGGAAGGGACGTCCGCTCACACCTGCGGTGGTTGGGTTGTGGGTTGTGCAAGCTAAGGGTTGTGAATGGGTTGGTGATGGAGTGGTTTCTTGTTGGATTGGCTCATTTTGGGGTAGCTCTGGTTCATGGGGCTCTAGATGGGTGATTTTTGTTTCATGGGGTTCTATTTGGGTTTGAGGTTGTTGGGGTGAGGTAGGTTGGGAGATTATAGGTTCTGGTTGTATGGGTAAGGTGATAGAAGGTTATGTGGTATGAGGGGTTGGTGATGGAGTTAAGGGTAGGTTGGGAGTTGGTGATGGAGTGAAAGGTAGGTTGGTTTCTGTTTGTGGGGCAGATGAGTCTTCAACAGATGAAGAACTCAGCTCAATGGGTTCTTGGGTGGTGGCTAAGGGGAACATGTACATTGTGTACATCTTCAGAGAGCGGAGCCTCTGGTTCCCTAGCTTGGGTTCCTTGGGTAGTGGGTGATGGTTGGTTTTGTGATGGTGGTGGTGGTGGTGCAACGAACTCCA